CCAAGGAAGGTTGCGAGCTAACTCCTTGCGTTAAAAAAATGAGTGGGCAGCAGCCTTCTCTCAGCAGCTGGCTCAGCAGCCGGCTCTCAGCAGCTGGCTCCACCCTCCTGCCACGAAACTAAACAGTCCTCTTGAAGAGGTGTTCCCCGGCAAGTTCACTACCTAACCGTTCAAGGTTCATTTAAGGTTAGTGCCTAACCTTTAAACTCACATGTCTAACATTTAAAGAATACATTCTACCCTAAGAACAAAGTGGAATAGCCTCCTAAACCTTACATACGATCTATGTAAAGAAGAGGAAGTTTTCGGGTTCAACTCACCTCTAGAGAAGAAGAAACCCTGCTGCAGGGTCGTACTTTCCAACGCAGATTTGGAAGCCTTCCTCAACTCCGATCGTCGCGATATACACCATTCCAGAATCCTTGTTTTAAGATCTTTCTCTGGACACCTCACACGCCTGATTTGAACGAGTGAAGCTCAAGATATGGGCTGAACAATCAACCCTACGCACAGTGACGAAAACTGCGAACTGCTCTCTCCTTTCTCTCTTTCTTTGTTCTGATCGGTTCTCTTCTCTTAGAAGTCAAGTAAATTCGAATGGGGGGTACTAAGGCTGACCCTTAGGCCTCCCAAAAGGTTATTCCTTTTGTGTGGAGTGGGTTGAGTGAGGTGTGGATGATTCTCCACCAAGTCTTACTAAATAAGTACAAATGGGGTCCAACCCTTATCATTTTATTCTCTACACAACCCCACTCCATCATGGTCCGCCCCAAAAGTCAACATACAATATTCTCTTTGTCTCGTAAGTGCCAAGGAGGTGTGGGACGCACCCCCTTCAGTCCAAGTCGGCCCGGAAGGAAAATCCTTACCGATAATTCCTTACGGAGGAAAATTGAGTGTTATTATTTGTGTCTTCGTAATGTGATTTCTCTCCATATAATATCGGGCTCTTATACTAACCAAGATGGCCCACATCAGTATTTGGAAACTCACTCACGAAACACGGATCCCAACGATAGGTTAACAAACACAAGTTACATCAAACACTACTCGTTTCACACAATGTCAAAGCATGAGTTACATAAGATAACACACGTGTTACACACGGCTGGTAATAACAAGTTCAAAACATCAATTGCGAAACTTTCGAATAGTAAATTCGGGTACACACGGGTGCGGTGTCACACCTTCTCTTGGAGATGAGTCAAGGAGCTCAAGCTGTGCGTATCCTGCGTACCTCTTGGCCACAATCCTGGCTATCCGCCAAGTGATGGGGACGAGCGTCCCCGTGGTCATGGGGTCTCTTCTGGTAGCGGTGCCAAGGGGCCGAAGTTGTACGTCTTTTGGGTGACTCCTTAATACTAAGGTCCCAAGGTCGTACATCCCCCTGACCTTGGCGCCTTCCTTTGGTTTTGATGCCAAGGTCTGAACTCGAGCGTCTTCTGGATATTCCCTCACGCATAAGGCCTCTGGGGCCGTACCTCCTCCTGATCATGGGCCTTCATCTAGTAGACTCGTGGATGTTTCTTTATGACTAAGGCCCTTGGAGCCGTGCGTCGTTGAAGGTAAACGCTCCCTGGTGGACTTGGAGACTGGAGACGTTCGTCCCACCTTCTCCCTCGATGGGCCTTAGGACCTTAAATTAAGAGAGGGTAATGAGCTGACCTCTATGTTGGGCCATTAACCCAACATATCTTTTTCAGATTATTTTTTGGAGAAGAAAATTAGCAAAAGACTTTTGCAAAATATTAAATAATAATCAGCATTTTTTAGCCGTAAATCAAGGATGAGGAGATGTGGTAGATGAATAGTAAACTAATTCTCAAAGCCACCATTGGAGAAGAAAATTTATTTAAACTATGTTTATGTCCACATAAGCTTAATAGGACGTCTACAAACGTCATGTAACACCCCGGGCCCGCAGGACCCGAAGTAGTTACTCCAGACCTCTAGTATTGTCCTCACAAACCACCACGAGCCTTTACCGCGCACTTTGTCCTCACTCATGCACGCCCTGAGAAACTTCCCAGGGGGTCACCCATCCCAAGACTACTCCCAAGCAAGCACGCTTAAATTTGGAGTTCTTAGGTAATGAGCTCCCTTAAAAGGAGATGCACCTCTGTTGGTATGAGTAGTACTATTAATCCATTTATATTAAATCTCAAGTGTTACAATCACCCACACTTAGGATCGCAACGTCCTCGTTGCGCCCTTAAACTAATCTCAATCAAACTCCAGAATCTTTTCCCCTGCTAAGGGCCAGCCCGATATCCAACGGATCAGCACACTGTCGCAGGGTTGCTCTGATACCACCTGTAACACCCCGGGCCCGCAGGACCCGAAGTAGTTACTCCCGACCTCTAGTACTGTCCTCACAAACCACCACGAGCCTTTACCGCGCACTTTGTCCTCACTCATGCGCGCCCTGAGAAACTTCCTAGGGGGTCACCCATCCCAAGACTACTCCCGAGCAAGCACGCTTAACTTTGGAGTTCTTAGGTAACGAGCTCCCTTAAAAGGAGATGCACCTCTGTTGGTATGAGTAGTACTATTAATCCATTTATATTAAATCTCAAGTGTTACACGTGATGTGTCCACTTTATGTATGATGCAATCCACATTTTCATTAAAGATGCTCTAAGCAACTAGGTGCTCGCCTAGGCGACAATTAGGCGACTAGTTGCACCTTATGTAACATTTAAATATGTAAAATAATGCTTAGTATATTTAAAGATATACCTAATTTGTAACTTATTATATATTAGATTTTACAAACAAAAATATACATTACCAAATGTCGGGAGCAATGATTAATAAATCAAACCCAGAGTAAGAAGTTGTTCTCCTCACCTGATCTAAATGTTTCTGATCTCAATTTTTTAAGTTCTGATATGATCTGATCTGAATTTTTCTGATTTGATCTTATCTGAATCTTTCTGATCTGGTCAGAATGTTTCTGAGGAGGAGGAGGGGGAGGAGGAGGAGGGGGGATGGGGGAGGGGAGGGGGGAGGAGGATTAATTACATAAAGATGGTTTACAAAAATATGACTAGTTACTAGAGTAGTAATGAAATCGTTGTAATTCATGTTCAAGTTTTGAACTTAAGTTACCACAACACTACGTTGTAATCACGAATAGTCATATTTATGTAAATAAGTTTTATTTTAGTATTACTCTTGAAAAAAGCCTAATAATAATAATAACAACAACAACAATAATAATAATATACTATTTATATTATTATATTATTATTATTAAACAATAATAATAATTATTACTATATTTTATTAATATACTATTATTATTATTTATAATGTAATAATTAAAATAATAATAATTCTAATTAATATAATAATAAAATGATAAATCATGTTTGAAGTTTTCTGATCTGATTTAAATATTTCTGATCTGATCTGAATGTTTTTGATCTGTTCTGAACTGATCTGAATCTTTCTGATCTGATCTGAATCTTTCTGATCTAATCTGATTTGAATTTTTTTTATCGGAATAAAATAAGAATAAGCAATAAGTAATAAGAATAAGACGAAGAGAACATCTTCTAAATCACAAATTGAAAGAAAAAATTCTAAGACATTAAAAAAAATTGGAAATTAATAATCTCACCTTGTAGCTGTTTTCTTACAACAGTCTCACCTAATTGTAATCCATGAATAATCCAACTTTTGCACCACATCTTAATTTATTTGTCCCTGACCGGTTGATGATCTGTTATTCTAAGTTTCTTCATTTTCTTTGCAAATCATTAAACCATAAATTTCACCTTCTACAAATCTTTTCAAAACGATCTCACATAAGATTTTTATTTTTCCTTCCTAAATATTTTCTTTCCTTTTTATGTATTCCTATTTTTTTGTAATCTCTTTTGATATTTTTTTATTCAGACTACTTGTTTGTATTCTTTTCTTTGAAGTTTTCTGAAAAGAGAAAAATGTCGGAGAAATTTCTCAAATATGACTTAATGAAACTTTAATTGCAAGAATATGAGTGTAACTTTAAAATTCCTAATTAAGACTAACTTTCCAATTATACCCTTGCTTTGTTTAGTACAATTCATATTTCATTAATAATTAAATAAAAGTAATAACCTAACTTAATTTATAATAAAAATGTAGAAAAATAAAAAAACACAGAAATAAATATTAAGTAAAATTAAAAACAATATTACATACATAAAAAAATATAAATTAAAAACTCAAAAATAAAATTAAAAAATATGCAAGCCTCTACTGCTTCAACAACCTTCCAACCCCAGTACCTAGTGCTGGACTCGGGCCAGGCGGCCCGAACCGGAACCGGCCCGGTTACTGTGTGAACCGGCCCGGCCCGGTCCACCGGCGGTTCGGGTCAAACCGGCCCGGTGGATACCGGTTCCGGGCCCGGGCCCTCTATTTGGTGAACCGGCCCGGCCGGTTCGGGCCCGGTCCGGGCCGGAATAATTTTTTTTTTAATTTTTTTTTGAAATTTTTTTAATTTTTGGATTGGATTAGGTATTTTGGGCCATTTGAGGTGGTTTGGGGTGGTTTGGGGTTGAGGGGGAGGGGTAGGGGGTTAAATAAGAAAAGCCAAAAAATCAAAAAAAAAAAAATGGGGCGGGTGAACCGGCCCGGTCTGGCCCGGAACCGGTCCGGTCTGGCCCGGAACCGGCCCGGAACCGGTCACCTGCCGGTTCGGGCCCGGGCCCTCCTTTTGGTGAACTGAGGCCCGGCCGGTTCAAGGCCCGAACCGGCCCCGGCCCGAACCGAGTCCAGTCCTACCAGTACCCCACCAGCTCCGAGCACCGAAAAATTGCCAACATGTGTTTTTATAAATTAAAATAACTTTTATTATTTATTTATTTATTTCTGAAAATAAATAAATATACCACATCGGTTTTTACACAAAACCGACGTTAAACCCGTCTAAATATGTATGTACTACGTCGGTTTTTAGTAATAACCGTCATAATAAGTCCACTTTTTTTATATAAAAAAACATTCAACGTCGGTTAGATTATACAGGCCTCAAAAATTGCAAAGGACAACTTCCACTGAGATTTAAATTGCACGAAATGCAACAACTTAAAAAATTATATTTGCTTATAACAAAAACTACCCAATATTAAAGATGTTAAAGCATGCTTATACATACATCCAGCCAACAAGTTAACACATAAAGTGAGATTTACACATTAAGAAAGTCAAAATAAAAAACTATGCAAGTCAACTGCATCTGTAGAAGGTCATCAAGTTCTCTGGTAATCTCTGGTCATCTCTTCAGCCTGAGCCCTGAGGAGTGGGATACACATATATTAGAATATAATGCATGTCTTAACTCATATGTCCATCACGCAAAAAATCATTACAATACATGAAACATAACATTAATGGATGTATCTTACAAGTTTAAACATGGATAGCAGTAAGACATTATTTTAGGAAATTAAAAAGAAGCAATATTACAAGTACCAACATTATCAAAGGACTAAAATCAATAGGTTATGTATGTAAACATTCTTAAATCACCTGAATGATAAGCCATCATGTAACTCCAGCTTTTTTGGCAGCAGTACCGGCTTTGGGGGCAAGGCACCTAGGCAGTGGCCTAGGCAGTACCGGCTTTGGGGGCAAGGCACCTAGGCAGTGGCCTAGGGCACCAAATTTTTAGGGGGCACATTTTATAAAAGAAACTATTATTATTATATATATAATAATATACAATGCTAGTATTAATATTAATGTCATTAGTTGATAGACCATCTTGCTTCCATATACAAATAGCGGCCAAGCGGGAGTCAATATTACAGAAGTAACAAAACAATCCATCATGCGTCACCGACTAGATGGCCCGATTGAAAATTAGGATAATTTAACACTCCCTAGTACTCCGTATATTCATAGTCCCTAAACTCCTTGTTCAGTTGGATTTTAAAATTTAAAAATTTTAAGGAAAAGGTCTCATCGGTAATTCAAGGTTATCCACCAATATGTTGTTTGCAATTCAAGGTTATCCATCAATCTACCATTCAGATTTCAGATTTGCATTGGATAATTCATAATTCGGTATACTCCATATTTAATACTCTCTATTTCATAATTCGGTATACTCCATATTTAATACTCCCTATTTTATTCTTTGATTTCTTCTCCAATTCGTAAATGAGTTATTCTATTTTTATCAAATGCAAATGAGTTATTCAACATCCAACTTATTAATTAATATTCACTAATTGTATTAAAATTAAAACTTTTTGTTATACTCCCTACTATTTTTTTTATAATTTTCTTGAAGTTATTCGTTTATCAAATTTAGTTTTGAATTTGTTCTTTTTAAATAGTACTCTCTTCGTCTCCCTAAGTTTGTCCTGTTTTACCTTTTTCATCCGTCCCATGCCATTAAGTTTGTCTCATACCATCTCTGGTAATATTTGGATTGTTACAATTCATTCTTAGGTAGTGTTTGGATCTGATTCTTAAAACTGATACTTTTAAACTTATTTCCTGAGAAAGGGTATTTTTTCCCAGTCAGCATGCCATATCAACGCCCGAGTTAAATTCCATTTCCACTTCATTTATCAGCCACGTCACAATACATGTCATCCCACGTGCCATTTATAAAAATAAAATTGTGTCATGAGGGAGAGTCGAATCCTGCCCATACCATGTCACAGCTGTGCACTTCAGCCACTGAACCAAGATGATAACATCCTATTGTTTTCAAATTTACTTAATTATTCTCCCATAATATAAAATCAATAAAGTTCACAGAAAATTTCCACGTTATAAAAAAATAGACATTTCAAATTTCACCACTTTGATATATATCCACGTTATATCATTAGCCATTTCGAATTCCACGTTATAAAAAATTAGTAGTCAATAAAAATAATGTTTATGCTCAAAATATGGAACCGTCATATTGATTTCCCATAATTAAGTAATTAACCATTTCATAATTAGCCATTTCGAATTCCACGTTTTCAAATAATGTTTATTATTAGGCTTACAGATGTTTTTAGTCCCTGCAAATATGACACACTATATTTTAGGTCCCTGCAAAATAATATTTTTGTTTTCCATCCATGTAATATGCACCATTTTGGTTTTAGTTCTCAAATTTCAAAATCACTCTACTTAGAAAAAATATTATTGTCAGTTACATATATTTACTTGAAATATTTCAATTTGTCCTTTTATAATTTTTTTTATGCTAATATGAGAGTTAAAATAAAGTACAACTAAGTAATCACATTTTAAAAATATACTTCGTTTATTAAAAGCCTTCAAAAAAATAAAAATAAAATAATTTTTGAATAACATGACAAAGAATTAGAGAAAATATATTAGTTAGAGTTATTTGAAGTCAAGCGGAGGTTGTTATCATCAGTGATGGATTAAAAAGAAAACTAGTATAAATTGCAAGGACGAAAAACAAAAAACAAAAACGTTGCAGGGATGTAAAACAAAATGTACTATATTTGTAGAGACTAAAAACATATTTAAATCTTATTATTATTACTAATGTTATATTAGTGCTCCGTAATAATAAATGATTTAATGTCAACCATCATATGGAACGTTGGTGGTGTAGTGGTCTAAGGTTCTTTATTTTTAATGGATGAGCGTGAGTTCGAATCCTAGGAGCTTAATTTTTTACTACGTATGAAACATCTATATGAGATGACATGGTCTTGTGATGTGGCAGAATAATTGACTTTGGAAATAGATTAAATATTGGCGCTAACATGGCACACTGACTGGGAAAAAATACCCCTTCTCGGTAAATAAGTTTAAAAGTACTCTATTTTTGGGAAATAAGATTACAAAGTATCCCTCCCCGAGAAATAACTCATCACTAGAATCAATAGTACAAGGTACCTGATAATATGACAGAAACCAGCAAGGTCAAAAAGTGCCTGCTTTGATGAAAGATATTTCAGGTTCTCTGTTGTCAAAGATCCAAATGGATAACCCTTTCCATAATACGGAGTATCAATGTTCCAGGAATCCAGGGAAACAATAGCAGCTCCAAACTTCTTAGGCTAGAACCTGTATGGCATTGCATGATTCAGAAATCAACTCTAACTACTGAAACTACAAATCATAATGTAGAATACGGAAAAACAACTAATAATACTGAACAGTTGCCCACACTAATCTGCATGTGCATGGGATTAAGTAAACCTTTCCAATGCCATGACTTAGATAATTTATATGATAGTTGAATGGCATAATGAGACGGTATACAAAGAATTAAGATTAAGCTAGGCGACTGGGATAGTCTCAATTCTCAAGTAAAGGTTCCGGGAGTGCTACAAATTTGGGTCTATTACACTCGCTAATCAGATGTGAATTATTATATGTCCATGTGTGAGATTTTCAGCTTTAAGATAATATTCTTGTTTCTTTTGGTTCATCCAATGCCATGGATCATTTGTTAACAACTCAATGACAGAGAGAAATTGACAGAACAAAGAAAAATGAAAAAATGAAAAATACACCTTCAAGCCTGAAGCAATTCTTAAAGTGAAAGCTTAATTGATCTCTTTTTATCAGATATGTTAATACATGCAACTCAATCAATATGTGAGACACAAGTTCAAAGATTTTTTACTAAATATTAATACATATTTAACCCTTTTAGAGGCCACAACATTAGCCCCTCACAAATTACACCTTCAAACCTGAAGCAATGGGATAATCAACTGATATTTATGTTACCATCAATGGTGAGGTGATTAACTCAATCCAGACAAAAAAAAAGCCACAGATATACAAAGATAAACCTTAAATGAAGCTAGAACGCATTACTCAGTGACTGGAGCGTTTGATCTTGAAACTCCATCGCGGCAAAAATCACAAGAGTCCCCACGGTGGTTCCAACGCAAACAAATATCAATTTTCTTTTCTATCTGTTCCAGCCATCTCTGAAAGGTCAAAACACCCATATGCAAGGTCCTCATATCAATCTGTGCAATTTGTGCACATGAGCGAAGTATAATATAATAATCAGCATGGACAGCATATATCAAGGCACCATCTTTCTTTCTAGCATATCGAATGTAACCATGGTTCTTCGAGGTGGATTTAATGGGTGGAAGATAAGAAAATCGATTTTCCTCCATATTTGATTTCATTTGCCGTACCGCCTGATCCTTATATGACTTCTTAGAACTTTCATGTACTGGTGATTCAGAATCATCCGATGGACACTTTGGACAATCACCTGTTGTGTTGAAATCGCCTCCACTCTCTCTCATTTCATCTCTCTTTCTATGGTCATCTGATGGTTCAGCATCCTTACTTTTTTCATAGAGGTCCCATAGTTCATCTATCAGACTTTCTTCTTCATGGTCCTCCAATGATGAATTTAATCCAGCAAAAACCACATCTTTACAGTGTTGAAGATATGTGGGCAGATCTAGTGCATAATCATGAATATGTTTGTGCTCTGAATACTTCGTTACAAGAATCTGAAGCAGCTTGGAACCATCAAAATTGACTTCCTCCTCAGCTAAATTACTCTTTTTATCCATAGAGTGATCATTGGGTTCAGATAACATCATTTCCCATTTCCCCCCATTTATGTCATACATAATCCTCATTGCTACAATAATGATAGACATAACATAAACCCGTGATGGAAGGCTGCATTCATTATCAGATAAGTAAAGTTGTGGAGGCATAGACCACCCATGTACACGGCATGCATGAGGAAGAATATTTTCAACTGGGAGAGATAACTCTGAAAGATAACGGGAAGCTAGAGCATAGAAATTCACAGGAGGTAGTTGTAAACCTATTCTCCGAGCAATTGAAGCAGCAAACGACTCTAACTTTTGTGAGGAGATGTCCTTAATTGGTCGGAACATACTACTAGAACTAAGCGGACATTCCATTGACGGAGGTCCAAGTTGCTTCTCAATTTCAACAAAAGCGGCAAGATATGGAAGTTTTCCTTCAAGCACCCAATTCACAATGTCCGTTGGCAGGATTGCCTCCCGGGCTAAATGGCAAACAAGATATGATATAGCCAGAGAAGTAGACAATGGGATCTTACTTCTCAGAGATTCACACCACAATGGCATTAGTCGTTTACCAAGAAGGTTGTGAGGTTCTCCTTTGCAGCGCCCCCTAACGGGAATCTGGAATTCGCCGAGTTCCCCAGTTTGGGATTCTGATTGTTTAATAACCTGGTCTCCCCAATCATCAGCCATTACCCTTTCATGAGCAACATATCTCAGCCAAATAGGTGAAATGAGCCCAATGATTAAAGGGCTGACGTTAAATTTCTCCACCAAGGCCTTACACTGCAACTGGATCATGATTTGAACGCCCATAATATACTTCACCCTGAGATTTGAAAAAAAGGATTCTGGAGAAATGAAAGAAGCCGTGTCAGTATTTACATTAACAGGGTCATTCTTGTGCAGCTGATATTGAGAGTAGTGTCTAGGACGAGCCCGTGTTTGAGATGCAGAATAGATCCTGCTCCCACCCTCAAGTCTGTTGGTGTCTACAGCTTCTTCAACAGCAGTATCCATGACATCGTCTGCACGACAGCCACAAAGGGTGCAATAAAAGAATCCATCATCTCCGTCCTTTAATCCCAGATTTCCGCACATGTCACACAACCTCTCCATTCTTTCCTATGGCTACGTACGTATATATTTTCAGCCAAATAATATATTGTCAGTCAATGCGGCGACCTTGGCTCTCTGCCGATACTATTTCATCCGTCCGTCCATATAGTTGCTGGCTGCATTATATATATAAAATCTGTCAAAGGCGATTCATTATTATTAAAAATAATTTTGGCACTATAGTCCGAGCGAGTATACATACAAGCTAGGCATTCCAAGACTTTGTATACAAATTAAATTAATTGATAGCATGCAGTTAGCAAATATTTTATAATGAACCATTTTTCTTGTGACAATCAAATAAATGGCAAGTATCAGTCACTATGTTGATCTAACAAGTCCATCTATATTAATATGCCTTTTGAGGAATTCTAATATGCTAGCTGATGAATTATATTAAAAATAATTAGCAAGTATCTTCAAAAAAAAAATAGTTAAGTATTCTACGTTCCAGATCAAGAGTAACAATAGTCTAGCTACTTACATCATTATTATATGCACCATAATTTGACTTGTAAAAATGAAATTTAAAAAGAAGTTGGCCAATACCTTATTCCAGAAAATTGTGTACCTCAAAAAAAGATCCTATATAGAGCAGTTATATAAGACGACATACGCTATAGTAGATAATATATAATGTTGTATATATATTTAAGATACCCACTTATATAACCAGCCATTCACATAGGCTCACCTGTTAAGATAACCGGCCGTCTATAAATTGCATTTAATGAATGAAACCTAGTGTTTTACAAGTACGTACATTTTTTTTGGACAGAAGCAGTCCAAGCAACAGAGCTTATAAGTAAATAATAATCTCTAATATCTATGTACTCTATATCTATATTCTTTCTATATATATATATATAATAACAAAATAGTAGCAGGGCGAGAAAGGCATACATTGCACGTGGAAGGTATCAGCAATGTAATAAAAGCAATTGTAAAAGGTGAATTTAAAAAATACTCTGTAAGTAGGCTGGTGAACGTACTTCATTCTCAAAAACGTTATATAGTCAAAAATGCATATGTGAGGCTGTGCTGCCTTTGCATGCATTGCATGTACGCTAGCTAGCTAGCTATATTTAAAGTGTAGAAGAATGTGTCAACTGCGAAATGCTTATGACCTGTAAAATTTCTAACACAACTATAACACCTTGCTAATATAAATAGTTGCACCTTTCCACCACTTCATCCCTACAAAAGATCAAGACACATATCTTCAAAGAAGTAGAAACACGAAATTGGTAAATATCATTATTATCATAGCTAGAAAAAACTTTTTTTCTTCTCGATCTGGGCAAAAATCGATTTTCCAATGAATGGTCTCCACTCTCCACTATTTCTTTCTAACAGAACAAATACTCTTGTAATTATACACCTTTGTGTGTGTGTATATATATATGTATATGTATATATATATATATTAGATTTTCACCTGTGCATACAAATATCATTTATGCCTTGTACTAAATGTATTGCTATTATTATTTTATCTAATCAGGTAATACTTTAAATAAGAAAATAATAAGTATGTGATGATTGAGGTTTTAAATAGAAGACATAATTAATAACAAGCACAAATTCATTATCAAAAAAAGAAATATCACAAATATTTCAGGATAACTATAAATAAGAAACAAAACGTTGAAAAAAAAACAAAGGAAAATGCATTCATCATACATCTAATGACTTAATGTCCCAAGTTATATTTGATCCCATTAAGGGATAAATTTGGAGAGATTGTCATTTTCAATAAATGTTTGTGTGTGACTAATAACTGAAAGAATTATAACTTACTTGAGGATATCAAATGATATTATTTTTTTTTAAATAATATGTCATTTACAATATAATGTTGATTATGAAAACTAAGTCTTAATCTTATTAGTGTCGTTTCAGGATCATATCAGATCAGTAATGCATCGTCCTTGAATTTGGGAAATCATTGAACAAATGCATGGCAGAAGTATATACTCCGTATATTATAACATGTCATGGATATATGCTCATCTCATTCGTATTTATAGATGAAGCAAATCAGATAGAACATGGTTTTATTTAAAAACACTATTTTTTCTAGAATGTTACTCTAAAATATTATCTCTTAGATCATTCTTTGACTATGCTTTATTTTAAATTTAGTCGGTGATTTTACAAGTATTGACTATTGAAAATATCTAAATTCCTGATCACTTTTTCCATATCCCTGGCAGATTGTAAAATACTTTTAGGACTTTGGTTTTCAGAAAATTGATTATCTTAGTTGTACTAGATTTGTTGGGTTTGAAATCCAGAGTTTTGAATTGTATTTGTTTTCTGGATTAACATATATGCTTTCACTTGCTTATAAACTATTGTTATCTTAGAGGTGAATATAAACTTTGTAAACTGTTGTTGGCTTAACTGAATAATTCTCAAGGTCATTTGTAAAGCCAGTTTAACCAAATGGCAGCTCAACATGTCCTTGAGATTAAAGAATTTTGTGTGGACAATCATTTGAGGTTTTAAGTTTAAATAAAGAGGATATGGGAAGAAGAAAATCAAGGAGACTGTTAAGCTCATATACGATAAATTCTTGTACTTTATAATTTTATGGTACATTCAAATTACAAGGAGACAAGGTGAAATATAATTATTTTGTTTTGAGCTTCTCACAACAAAACCAGAGTTGTTTGAGCTTCTCATAGATGATATTCACTTTCTACTTAAACAGAACCAATCCCCTCTTGTTTTTCTATCCCCAACTAAACAGCACAGGCAAGCGGAGGCAAGCACTGGATTGGAAATCAGTGGCATACAAAAGGAGTCCTTATTGATAGCAAACAATAGCCCTCTATGTGTCCCATGCATATTGAAGGAAAGTAGGAAACCATGGTAAATTTATGCCCTCATTCAAATGTATCGGCTGAGAAGGTAAATAAACATTTTTCACAATTTAGTTGGAAAAATAATAGTTCATTTCACACATCACTTTTACCACCATTCGTGTTGTAGGAGTTTCTTTTATGGTCCCCTTGTGACTTTTTTTCATTTTAACAACCTGAATTTTCAGTAGAAAATAGATTGATAATTATTTTGGTATGTAATGATGTCTTTGATACACCATAGTATTCTTCTAATTATTTTGGTTAAAGTAATGAGTTGTTTTGATTAGTTGTGGATACTTAACAATGTACTTATTAGCATTATTCATATTAATTAGGTGTCAATGATGAGCATATGGTTCATTCAGGATCAAATGTTTTATACATGCATAATTTGATCATTTGATAAGCCTTATTGTGTGTTTTATATATAAATGGTATAAGCAGCAAGTGTACATGTAGGAAGTGGAGAAGCTGCAGAGATGGGAGGAAATCTGCTACAAGACAAACCATGATGGTGGCACTATAACACCCAACCTGTTTGTGTTGGGGTCTACGCTTGAGGTTTCCAAGTCTTAGATCTCAAAAAAGAATTGAACTGACCCCATTAATAATGATTTAGAACACTGGCATGAAACAGGAGTGTGTAAATTTCTATTTGTATGGCTAGCCAGGTTAAGGATGAATTTCATAAACACCAGCGGGCTAATACGTAACTATTCTTATTGAACTATTTATGTATTACAGGTGCACTTTTACATTCATTCAGTCGATGTACTTTGTTGGTTTCTGTTTTGCCATATCCAAACTATTCTGTTTCTCTTCCCTAAAGCTAACAACAGAACTTTCACTACCTTCTTACATAAAGAAAGTTGTGTCATTTATTGTTGAAGAAAATGTGTAGCATCTGAGATCTTTTAGTTACGTTTCTTTTTAACTATGTTCGGTAGGTGATAATTTATGACGGTATGACCTGCTCATTTGATTTGTTTTTTATTTCTGATTTAGGTTCATAATACATTTATCTCTTATTTTCTAGATGGATTTTAGTTTTCAATGCCTTCCTTAATGGGCAATGAGTTCGCATCTTGAATCTGTTTCTCCACTTATTTCCATCTTCTCCCAAATCACAATAGAACGAACAAGTTATTCTTAGTCAAGTTAAAAGTGACAGTACATTGATATTAAATCGGTGTCTATGATGTGAAAAACATATATTTTCTTCAGCATCCACACTAAATAAATATAAATTAAAGCTTTAATTGGATTCTTCCATAACCAACGGTGGACAATAAAACAGGTACCTTAATTTTGTTTTTCTTAGAGGTCGTGATTGCCAATCTACGATTAATACAACTATCACTTCTAGTTGTAAGATTGTTTTCATTTGTAGACAAACACTCTGGAGTTTGAAACATTGAGTTCTGAATTATTGTTTTTGTATCATTTTCCCGCATAGTTTGGACTATGAAAAATAGAACAAAATTGTGATTTTTCTATAGACCTAATTATTATTTGTAGCAATACTTTTTCAGCTTTGTGTTAAAGTTTATCAATAAAATGGCTTAATCATTGACAAAGTTTAAGAAAATTGATTATATGCTCCATTCTAGGTCTTTTGCTTTGAGGTTGTTTTTTCTTTTCAATATCGTAATTTGGGACTTGTTGGCGGTGAAATTTTTGAGATTTATTCCACCTCAGTTGTTTCTAATGGGGTTTGGTTTCGGACCTACGAGTGACGATAGACCTAAAGCATGACAGCGAATTCTGGAAGAAATGAAACACAAGTAATTCTTTGTGCGGGCATTGCCCACAGTATGTATCCTCTGCTTTTTGCTATTGATAGGAATGATGCAAATTACACACACACATATATATACATAGGGAGATACAATAATTATAATTTTTTCCAATCTGTACATTCAAAACAGTTATATCTTCTCAAATAAAAATGAATAACTAGGATTTGCATCTCGTGAAATTTCTAGATCCATTGCAGTCCAACACACTTAAATGAATACCTCTTCAGATAATGAGTAAATTAATGAATATATCCTTTCTTCTTACATAATGATAGTGAAATAAGCAGCAGCAGCTCCAATTTATGTATGTTCTAACCTCTTCAGTTCCTACATAAATGGCAGAGCTACCTCCCAGCTGGTTTTGCGGGCAAATATAAGCTCGGGTTCGTGGACTTGGCTTCGCCGCCGGCCGGCCTGCCTGCTATACTCACAAAAGCATAAAAGCAAAGAAATTAATTAATGCTATCATCCATCAAAGGAGCTGATGAGACAAAATGATTAAAATACATAAATGCCGCCGCATGCGTCCACTAGTCCTATCCACAGAGCCTGTGACAATCGTTGATGTAATTTTGATGAGCATTGAGCCTGTTCTTCTAAGTATTAAAAGTCTAACAATGAGCACCAGTGATCCCTGATTCATATTTTCTAATTCGGTTTCTTTTTATGATTTTTTCATTTATAAAAATTAAAAATCTTAAATTATGTTTATAATTAATTTCAATATGTGAATCTAATGTAGTATGATATGTTTGATATGCGCATCATTTTAAAATGAGCATAAAGCAGTACCAAATGAGCATACAAAATGGGCATACATAATTTATAAAATGAGTATCAAAAAAAATCAAAACTTTATTTGTGTATGCTCATTGATTTTGGGCGTTATATTTGATATGTGTATCATTTTAAAATGAGCATAAAATAATATCAAATTAGCATACATAATTTACAAAATGAGTATCAAAATATTAAAAACTCATTTTTGTGTGTTCATTCATTTTGGGCATAATACTCATTTGAATTTAATTTAAAACTCATTTTGAAATATGCATGAATATGACATTTTAAAAAGAGTATTGTATTAATATCAAATGAGTATACATAAATTACGAAATGAGCGTTTAAAAAACTCAATTGAGTATGCTCATTCATTTTGGGTGTTATACTCATTTCAATTTTACATGAAACTCATTTTCAATGTGTTCAATATTAGTTTGTGTGAGCTCATTTCTTTTACGCGTATACTCATTTCTTTTAGGCTCATTTAAAATCACCACCATGCTCAAACTTTTATTTGCGTATGCTCATATCTTTAGAATTACGTACAACCTAGGTTATCCCAGACCCAAAAACCACCAAACTAAAATAATCAGTGTGAGAAAAATAGAAAAAGGAAAAGAAAGGAGCAGAGCGTGCGAAGTTAAGGACGAAGCTGAAGGAGAGTTGCTGAAGGGTTGCGGTTGTCGAAAAAGGGAGAGGTGTTAGTAGGCGGCAAGCAAGGATGATCGACCATGGAAGCCTGCGATGGAAGCCCTGCGATGATCGGCCAGCCGGCTTGTATATATGGATAAATTAATACTCCCCCCTCGGTCCCTATTTTATCTCCTCTTTTGACCCGGCTCGGGATTAAGATAGTAGATTTTGTGTGGTGGAGAGTTGTGTAGACTGTAGAGAGAAAAATGTGCAAGAATGTTTGTGAATCACAAACTTTTTGTCAAAATGAGAAATAAGAGATAATTTTGGGATGGACCGAAAGGGAAGTTAGAAGATAATTTCGAGACGAAGGGAGTAGCTTATTTGGTAACACTCAAATCGGCTGATTTTGTTGAAATTTATGGAGTTCTGGCTGTGTTGGTTGATTCTGCTGATTTATAAAAATTATATTTGAAAATATATTTTATTAATAAAATAAATAAAAGGTTGCATGAAAAAATAGCTAAAATGATCATCTATCGTAACTTCAGTCAGAACAGACAGAAAAGTAACATCAATCTTACTTTTCTTATTATTATGCATTTCAGCGATCGAAATCAAAAGTCACGTGTTTGGTGAAAAAATTGACTGATAAGTCAAATAACAATGTTACCAAACGGGCTCTGAGATTCTCTCATACCAAATTGGGCAAAGTTTGTGTGGTTTTAAACATTTCTTACTTTATCAATTTATTATCAAACACATAAATTCATTTATCATAATAACCGTATTACACCACATCTTTATGTCCACGCTGAGATAGTATAAGACTATTCGCAATCACTCTCCGTCAATAACGTAAATTTCCAATCAGTTTATACCAAAATTACGTATTCACTCTGTCAATTCAATTTTTCTCTGCAATCTAATACCGTCAATATATTCGCCTAACATAATTTTTTATTAAATCATTACTTTTATATATGCTATATGGATCTCACATGAAAGATCATAAAAAATACTCTCTTCGTCTCTAATAATTTTGTCAAGTTTAACAGACACGGGAATTAATAAAGTAAAAACTGTGTGATTGCGGTTTGTGAAGAGGAGAGAGAATTAATTGGAACCATAAATTCTTTATTTAAAAGAGGAAATGACAAAGTTATTTGGACATCCAAAAAAGGAAAGTTAACAAAGTTATAAAGGAGAGAGGGAGTATAAAATTTCATATGATTTTTATAAAATTTGATATAGAAATAAAAAAGTTATGTTACTTTTAAAAAATTCTCCGTATTTATTTTTATCATTAACTCTACCACCTACCTTTTGCCCATCTATCCACACGTTTTATCCTTCTTTTTTCTCTCTCCTGGGATAAAAAATGGATTGGTTATTCCCCAATGAGGCCATCTCCAACAAGCATCATCTTCAACATCAAAATTGTGTACTTGGAAAAAAAATGTTCCAACAATGACACCAAACTTTACACCATTACACCAAAATGGGGGAGGGGGAATGGCTTTACGCCATATATGGCCATATTCAACACCATTCAACTTTTTTGATTTCTTTTCCTTTTAAATGTGACCTTCAAATTTTAATTATTATAGTTTTGACCCATTTTTAAAACAACAAATTAGGATGTTTTACTTGGAATGAAATTGGTTTGTCCGCTCTAGTCTGGTCTGGTCTGATTTGATCTGGTCTGATCTGAAATGATGTGGTCTGGTCTAATTTCTTTGTATTTTTATAACTACCCAAGTGTTGTCTAATCGGGTCTGATCTGATCCCGAGACAAATTACAGTCCAAGTAAAAACATCCTTATAAAACAACAAATTAAAATTATTAATTTGATAGAAAAAAATATAATAAAATTTAAATCACACAATATTATAAATAAAGTTTCAAATCCAAACAACATTATAACAGAATACAAATGGTACTTAAGGAAATAGCATAATTAAAATTACAATTAATAACACCATTATAATTAAAATTAAAACATAATTAAAAACATACATGGTACATACTAATTTAGAAATTAGTAGTCATTCAACCCGCTTCCAGACCCTTCGAGACCATCAAACAGATTCCCAAATCCAGCTGATGATGATCCTCCTTCTTGAGATTTTTTTTTGTAAAATTCTCGATCTTTCTGCAATGATATATGCTCGCGTTTGTGGATCGTGAATAGAATTCAAATCCACGAACATAATTTTATCTTCTCTTTTCTGTTCTTTAAATGAGGGGCTAATGTATAAATATATATGATAGTTAGATACTTAAATAGAAGAATGGTAAAAAGTTAGTAAAAAGAATAAAAAGAGAATATTCCTTTTGGTGATGAAAATGGTGTAAACCGTTGGAGATAAAATACTGTTTGATGTGATGTTTACACTATTTTAGTGTAAAAAATGGTGTTAACTGTTGGAAATGGCCTCAAGGCTTCAGATCCATTATCCCCTCTTCAAATACCAAGATTGTATGAAATACTAGGGTGAATAGATCAATTACATCCTTTTCACTCTTGGATTGCAAATGGACTAAAGAGTGTTTGCAACTGCTTCTGTTTAAAAAAAAGCACTTTTGGAGATATAAGGAAAAAGTGAATAGTAGTAAAAGTTGATATTTTTTGAGAAAAAAAGTGATTTTGAAAAGTAAAAGTTGGCAGTGTTTGGTAAAATAAGTGCTTTTTGTGTAATAGAAAAAGGAAAATCACTTTTCACACGCAAGCCGAAATAAGTAAAAATTAGTAGTGTTTGGTAAATAAGTGTTTTTTAAGCAAAAAGTTGAGCACTGCTTTTTTAAAGTTGTTGCAAATACTCCCTAACTATATGGCTTGAACAAAGATATTAAATGTGAAGTTGCTAGGAATGGACATACACACGCCTATCCAAGTTAATCAATGGATGGGAGTGAGACCTATCAATTACCATTAGTAATAATGATAATACTCGTTTTTTTAATCACAACATGTTGACTTTTTGCATTGTTCACGTGATTTACTTTGACTACATTTTATACTACTATTTTATGGAAATTATTTTTAAAAAGAAATATTTTTCAATACATCTCATTACAAATTTTCAAAAACTAATTATTAATATTTTTTTAATAATAGAGATCAAGATATACTTACGGTCAAATGCGTGCGTTGACAAATGTGCAAAGGAAATATACATTACTTAAGCTGCCTTTTATTGTTCCAAAAGGTTGAATCGCCAACCCCAAGCGCCCCACGCCCCGACTCGACAGAACTTTTGGGAGGATGTAAGTCACGGTGACTCAGTCAGTAGAGTGGCAGTAAAAAAACTGCCTTTTATGTTTTCAAAGCATAGAGGTTCACCCCATTTATTTTAATACTCCGTATTTAAAGTACATTGACATAATGACATGATGGTCTTGACTCTTGATTATAATGATGATGAATAGAGTCATTTACTCTTTCCCTAGACTGGGCTGACTGGTTTTACAAAAAAAATAAATTGGGATGTAGGTCCAGTTTCATTTTTAACCATATCTTTCTAATTTATTACTACTACCGTAGTGGTACGATAAATTCTCTCCACTACCCATTTATGATTTACTCCGTATTTGCTTAGCTTCGAAATTACTTGGTTCAAAATTACTTGGTTTGTTTGCAATAGGGGTGGGATCGGGTCGGGTTGGGTCGGCTTTTTGCTAGGACCGTAAAAAACCAACACGGTTCATTGTATTTGTGTGTGTATATATAGAGATGTTTCTACCGTGTGTATAATGATTATATATACAAACTAATCAAATACAAATTAGACTTAACATGCTAACCTACAAACTAATCATGGCTCATCCATCTTAATTAGATTACCACACGGTTCATCATTTGACTGATGGGCTAAGGATGTTTTTACTTGGACTGTAATTTGCTGGTATGGTCTGGTCTGATCTGGTCTGGTCTGGTCTGGTCTGAACTGGTCTGGTCTGGTCTGATCTGGTAAGGTCTGGTTTCTTTGTATTTTTATAACTATCCAAGTCTGGTTTGGTCTGGTCTGGTCTGGACTGGTCTGGTCTGGGGCAAATTACAGTCCAAGTAAAAACATCCTAAGCAGTCTTTTTTTTTTCTTTTTTTTGGAAATAATATCACCGTACCCTATCTTTCCATAACTTCTTGC